CTATAATACAATTTTTATTCATTTATGATTAATTAAAAATTGCAATAATCCTTTTTTTTAGTCAACTTGCAATAATCCTGACGAAAACATCTCATTAGCATTTATTCTTTTAATTTAAATTAATGTCTGGAAATCATCTGGGGACCCTCACTTGATGTTCTGTGACCCACAAAGAGGTCCTGACCCCACCTTTGGGAACCACTACACAAGATGAAATACTGATACTCTGCACACAGAAAATATTGTCTCATGTTGACTCTGAGGACTGTTCCGTGGGTCAGCTGGGATTTTAGTGCTTTACAATTAGCTTTTGCTGCATTTTTAAGTGCGTTAGTGCTTTAGAATTAGGGGACCTAAATATTAAARTTAGTGCTTYAGAATTAGGGGACCTAAATATTAAARTTAGTGCTTTAGAATTAGGGGACCTAAATATTAAASTTAGTGCTTTAGGGTTAGTGCAACTCATTTTTAGATTAGTGCAGCCCACCACTGGTCCCAGTTTGTACAGATTTAAAAGGAGCTGAGAAGTCCTGATTCTGCTTCAGGTCTCTTTACTTAAAGGTTTCACTGAAGGCCGCCTTTGAGCAGAAACAGATAAATGGGTCATAAATGTTGCATGAAGCCACTTCTTTTCTGCACGTTTGACCCTCGTGCACACACAGCACTGATTTGGCAACAACTTTTATTAAATGAGCAGAAAAGTTGGTGGTTTCTGGCTCATTAGGTGCCCTCTGCTCAGCTTCAGATTTCTGATGGCTTGGAGAGACTCCAGCTGAAAACCTCTTGCAGCCTTTTAGTTTCATGTTTCTGCAGGAAAAAGAAAGACCACCCAGCTTMTGAGCCAACGGAGCTGACATACATCATGTCAGTGACGCAGCTACAGTTTTTATAACGATGGAGACTAACTGACATCACTAACCTCTGAATTCTTCTTCTGCTGCTGCTCTCACTGAGACTTTCAGGCTGAATGGACTGACGATGTGTAGGGACAGTGTCCTGGTTGTCCCTCATCCCAGTTGGACATGTACAGATGTCACAAATCATTGGCAAGACTTCTCAGATTCCCTGTATGAGCTGCAGATCGTCTCTCTCTTGTCTCACAGAACTTTTCAACATGTTTTAAAAAAGTCACAAGACAAATTTTTTTCTGTCTCAAATATTTCTCAGTTCAGTTTCTGAGATTGAAGACTGCTCTCTCTGAATTTACGACGTGAACTTTAGAAAACACAAAGATGATAGAATTCAGACAATCTAAAATCTGTGGTGGCTGAGAGTCTTGAAAAACACAGACAGTACTTTGAGTGGGACAAGAATTATATTTCTACAGGTGTAAATCTAAAGCACTTTGGGGTCCAGAGGGCCTTGATAAAACACTATATAACTTCAGTTTATTTACCGTTTACCATGACTCCATCATGACTCCATCATGACTCTACCATGACTCCACCATGACTCCATCATGACTCCACCATGACTCCATCATGACTCTACCATGACTCCACCATGACTCCATCATGACTCCACCATGACTCCACCATGACTCCACCATGACTCCACCATGACTCCATCATGACTCCACCATGACTCCACCATGACTGCACCATGACTCCACCATGACTCCACCATGACTGCACCATGACTGCACCATGACTCCACCATGACTGCACCATGACTCCACCATGACTTCATCATGACTGCACCATGACTCCACCATGACTCCACCATGACTCCACCATGACTCCATCATGACTCCACCATGACTG